AATTTTTTTTTGTAACCTTGGCCAGATCTGTGCCTTGCCACAATTCTGTCTCTGAGCTCTTCAGGCAGTTCCTTTGACCTCATGATTCTCATTTGCTCTGACATGCACTGTGAGCTGTAGGGTCTTAATATAGACAGGTGTGTGGCTTTCCTAATCACGTCCAATCAGTATAATCAAACACAGCTGGACTCAAATGAAGGTGTAGAACCATCTCAGGGATGATCAGAAGAAATGGACAGCACCTAAGTTAAATATATGAGTGTCACAGCAAAGGGTCTGAATACTTATGACCATGTGATATTTCAGTTTTTCTTTTTGAATAAATCTGTAAAAATGTCAAAAATTCTGTGTTTTTCTGTCAATATGGGGTGCTGTGTGTACATTAATGAGGAAAAAAATGAACTTAAATGACTTTAGCATATGGCTGCAATATAACAAAGAGTGAAAAATTTAAGGGGGTCTGAATACTTTCTGTACCCACTGTAAAAATGTGTCATGTTACATCTGTTGACAAACATTTTGCACATTGTAGTTTCCATTAACTGAGCATATTAATAGTTTTTGTAGCTTTCTATTGCATCACATGCTCTTTCCCAACAGGTGGAGTTTGCCCACTCGTGTGGAGATGTTCAAATGAATTATTAAACAGACCTTGTTTATGTCAGCTGCTGCTTTCATGGCCAAGCGTTAGTTTTTATCATAATTTTTAAGCCAGTATGGACCAGAAATGTTTAAAGCTGCCAGGAAAAAAAACTTTGTATATATTTCCATGACAACGGGGCAAACTCCCATCTGCTGAGGAAGATTGTGTCATTTGATTGAGCGCTAAATTTACCTTGTAAATGAGATTGTTTTGCCAGTGGTATTAAATTTGTTTTTTTGTTTTTTTCTGTTTTTCCTTGAGCTCAATGATTTCAGTACAAACAATCTAAATTTTTACACAGGGATAATTGTGTTGCGTTCAGTACAGTGGACTGATCCTCCAAATATAATCTGCAAATGCCTGGGTGGAATTATTGTGATATACTGTATGTCTACACATAAAGATGTATAAATTCAAAGGAAGATGTCTTAATTCAAAACTCCACTGAACCGAAAACCAACAAAAACAGCCTTCTCCATCAGGGACCGAGAGAGGCTGGATCAACCTAAATTCTTCGACATCGCTTTTATGATCTGAGCTTTGTTTTCTTTTTATTGCTGCCTGCTTCTACTTTCTCTTACCTCAGTTTCTCTTACTGCCCTCAGGCTTTTCTGTTCTTTGCTCTTTTTCAGGATAAAACACAGAACCTGCTTTAAGTAGCACTTATTTAACATGTTTGTCATAATTTGATTATATTTCTGTTAACATATTTGATCTAGGTTGCATATTGTTGACTTTTCACAGTTATTAACAGCCACCAACCATCTTATAGTACAACAGTGGACACTGTGGTAGTGACAGATTGAGTCCTCTGGGCTCCACTCCCTAAAGCGTTTCTTAGTGAAGTCTCCAGTCTTCCAGTTTCCCAAGGATCTGTTTAAAGCTGACACTGTCAGAGAGCTGGAGGATGAGGAGGCTACCTCCTTTGTGTGTCTGTGTGGTAGTGGAAACATACCATCCATCATAAACACCTGAAGCAATTGCAATGTCAAAAATTGATTCAAAATCCAAACATATTCCTAAAATAAGTGATGGCATGTGATATTTCTCCTTAGAATGACAGAACAATAGAATTAATTACTAAGAAATTATGATGTGCATCATCTAATGTCACACAAAATATCAAGCCAATAGCAGCAGAAGAAGTGTGTAAATCCTTCACTTAAGTAAAAGTACCAGTACAACATAGCACTCCATTACCAGTAACAGTACAGAAGTATTATCAGTAAAATGTACTTATTTAGTACATATTCAGTGAGATTTTGTGCTTTCCTCGACCCTTTGTCTTCTGTCTGAGAAGTCCAGAGACATGAGTGATATCACCTGCTGTTGCTTTGTGCTGTTTCTCACTATTCTCTGGTGTAAGAGACGTACAGGGGAAAGGCACTGCCGCAAGGCTTCCCCAGGCCACTCGTCTGTAAAGCTGCCATGCATCCACCATCCTGCCTGCCTCCTGTGCTCACGATCAGGTAGACCACGTGTTCACACACCTGAGGGGGAGACGAGAACACACTATAAAAGGAGCTCACAGAAGATGTTGCAAGGATGCGACCTGTTACTGTTTTTCGTGAGCAGTGTTGTATGCAGTTTGATTTTTCCTCCCATAACACCTGCTGTGGGTAATGAGGATGGACTGGACAGGGAAACTGCTGCTTTGGGTGTTTCCTTATGCTGTTGGAGTAACTGAAACAAAACTAAAGGTAGGAACAAAGATGTCTTTTCCTTAATTTTCTGGTGTGTGTGTGTGTGTGTGTGTTTTGCATTTAGTTTATTATGATTCTAATCATCCACACTTGCTTCTTTTGTTAAAAATAAAAATCATTTACAGGTCATGACCATTAAGTTTAATTTAATGTTGTTTGAGTAAGTAAAATTTAATTTCATTTGATGTTTACAGCATTGTGTGTTGCTACTGAAAAAAACAAAGGCTCCTTTCATGTTAAATAAGTCAAATTAATATTTAAATGCCACTGGATGTTACTGAAATGTAATACTGTGTACAAATTATGGTATAGAAATAATATAATTCTGTAATAATTACAGAAAAAATAGGTAATTCTCTGAAAGAAAACAGCAGTTTTAAACACTTTGAGTTTAAAACAGCATTTAAACTATTTACTTATTTTTCATTTATTACTGACAACTTTTATTTGTCATGTGTGTGCTTGTGTGCTTGTTTGCAGACAAGATTACACTGGCAGTTAGATGGAATTGAACCTATAATTAGTCCAGAATTACAATGTTCATTCTAAGAAATTAGGACATTGGGAAATTTAAAATCCTAAACATAAAGTGTTACCAAAATAAAAGTCTAACAGTCTTTTTAACCCACACTAGTACCAATAAACTGTATATATAATATTTTATCCCTTTGCACTTGAATTGATTTAAGGGTGAATTTTGCAGCCTACATAGATTGAACCCAGCCGTTACAGGGCAGTTATGACATAAGTACATGCACCCTGGTTACCTAAGTGATGCAGCTCCTGAGGGAGAGCAGCTGATTGGCTCACTAAGCCACAGAGCTTCAGGCTGACTGTATGTGTGTTTTCATTAGTGATCCAGCAATTAGTCACACAGTGGTAACAGTGGTCTAAACACCTCTTCATCTGTCTGCACTGCAGACAGTGAAGTATGTGAAGTGAAGTCAAATATTATTTATGTAGCCCAGTATCACATAAAAATGGGCTTTCACTGGCCTCATAGTTTGAGGGTGGATGAACTTTCACTAAGTCAGACAATGCAGTTTCTCTTGGTGTTGCTTCAGTCACTACAGCAACCACCTGCTGTGTGACAGACCAGTACAAAGGCTGTGGCAGACAGCCCCAGTTGTCCCGGTGTCCCCTGATTATATTCTGTCATATGCACCACAAACAGTGAAGCTCCCTGTAGACTGTAAGTGCTTTCCTGTCTCTGCAGGAAAAGTGAAAACATGGTCAACACTCCCAGTCATGTACATTTTAGATGGCTGCAAACATGGCTTTAATTTGAGTGTGTGTCCATATTGTCAGATCTGAAGATGACAGGCCAGGTAGCAGAGAGAGATCGGTCACCGCACAATCTGTCGGTGCAGACCACCTTGGAGGAGGAGATCGAGGGAACTGAGAGTATTCTTAGCAGGTGATGAGAACAATTCGTCTGTCATTATGTGCTTGTCTCTGAGGTCTGCTGGAGAAAGGCAGAAAGCTTACACATGTGTTTTCACTCTTTCGTACCAGGGTGCCA